GAAATTTGTTTACGGCAACAGACTTGTCTTAGTATGCAGAAAGTGGCTGAATGTAAAAATCTAATTATACAGGGCTCAGGTATTACTAACTAATACCATGAAATTAAGAACATAAGGTTCATGAAAACTTTAATCATCACTTTTTTGATGAGGTGAAACACAGTGTTTGCTGCTGAAAACTCAGATACCTTAAAGACGAGCTATAAATCATAGGTACAGTAAATTAATACAGTTTTAATTCAGTGGATGGGCGTTGTTTGGACGTTGTTACCTTCAGCATATTAACTGCTGTCTGACTTAAGGTGGCTTTGTTTATGCCTCCTCACTGGCGACAGCTGTGGCCAGAGACACTATGATTTTGGTCTGTCCAACCCATTCTTGTGAATGTGCGAACTCATGAACGCCTCAAGGGTATTTCTTCAAATTTGGCACAAACATCTACTTGACCTTAAGGATGAACTGATTAAATTTTAGTGGTTCGGTGTCAAAGGTCAAGGTCACTATGTTCAAACATCCATCCCATAACCATGAACTTGACTGGTTGGCACAAGTACACAGCTTCAAGGTTGTAATTCAAATTTTTGTTGCAGTCTGAATTCATTCTTGTTTTCTAATGCACACAAATAGACACACATATGCACTCCAACCCCACAGTAATTGGTTGTGAATCAAAAACCTTAATCACTAAGTAGACAATGTTGTTTCTAATATACATACTCACATCTCTTCCGCCACCCCCCCCTTCTATTCTACCCTCTTTCTGGTTTTCTTCAAATTTTCAGTTTGGATTTATCCACATCGCTCTTATCTTTTCACTATCTACTTCCTCCTTCTACACATTTGTTCCTCCACTCTTCTGTCCTCCATCTATTGTCTATACAAATGTTCTCCCCCTTCTCTAATCACCCCTCCTCATTGTTAAATCTAATCTTCTCTTGCCTCGTTTTCTTCTTAACTCTCATTTCCTCCTCCCATGTCCTTCCTGCTCCTCTCTCACCTCCTCTGACGCATCTGCCCTCATTGTGTTTTTTCTCCTCTTTTTGTCTCTCACCAATTCCACTGATACCAGGCATGAGTTGTCGTAGCAGAACTATAACCCTAATGAAGATGAAACATCCCAGTGTGTGTGTGCATGTGTGCACAGGTGTCAACAGCATAGTGAATTGCAGCTAAACTAAATTAATTCCTCACCCTTGTTTTTCTATCTCTGCTCCAATATGTATTTTTCTCTCTACCTTTCAGATTGATCAAGCACAATAGGATCCTACCAACAGTTTTTCAGCTCATTATGGTAAGAAACCAGTATCGGTTAATAATTTAATCACTCGGCCAATCATTAAATCAGTTGGTCAGTTAGTCAGTCAGTGCAGTTTGTTAATTAGAATCAGCTAATCCGACCCAGCTATCGCAATCTTTATTATTTTGTCATTTATGTTCTGTTTCATGACAGCAAATATGTTTTTTACCTCCTTCCCTTTCTGTCCTCTCACACTCGCTTCATCTAAACCTTATAGATGTATATTTATGTAAATTAGTCTGAGTGGTGTTGACCTTTTTGAGGGTTGCTGTAATTGACTGGCAGGTCAACAATAGAGAGGAGGAAGGGTTAATAGAGTGGGAATATGGGCTCCACTATTAAGATCACACACAAACACACAGCATTTGTCTGTTATCAGTGAAGCATAACAGTTTTTTCATTAAACAACTTATTTCACCTGACCCTGTTTGCATATGCAGTCTAATGCACCAACCAACAAACGTGATGAAATTTGTTTTTACCAAACCAAAACACACGTGGTGTAGCAAACAATCTGCGATTTACACACACACACACACACACACACACACACATCTCACACATACTCACTTAATAATCAGTGTTCTGCATGGCTACCTGTCTAGCCCCAGCTGGTGGTGCAGAATGTTAAACCACTGTTATTCATCAGCCTGATTAACTCCTCTCCTGATTGTTTACTCCTGTCTGAACAAGCCATGCCAGGATCCATTAGTGTCTTTTGTATTGTTCATGTTTGGATTGATGCATACTGCCTGAAACACTCTGATCTGAATTGATTACGCCTGTCACTGGTGATCACACTTGTCTGGGAGAATTGTATTTGTCTAGATGATGAAGTAGTTCTGCTTCGGACATGAAAGGACCTCCAGAAGCCAGCGACACTGGGGTTCTTAACTGGGAGGCTGTTGTGCCTGAGGAGACAGAGGATTGTTCACAGTTGGTTGCAGTCAAGTACTTTACAAATCTTGCCTCACTTAAAATGTACTGTAGGTTCACCACTAATATCTAATGAGGTGAATGCTCTATGAGTAGGAGCTATAGGACAAATAGTTCAAATTAATTTTATTTTGTCATTGTGCTTTGTTAGGTTTATGCTTTCAGTGATGTACACCATTGTTCTTTCACAGCTTATTAGTCCATAAAGATCAGAATAAATTGGCTTTGTCAGTTGTTGCTGCTGACAGGTAGGTTGTTCTAGGTGTGAAGTGATGTCACTGTCTGCAGCCTCAGGCTACTGAACACGATGAGTACCAGCCAGGCCTATCAGCCCATACACAGATCACACTGATGTGCTCAGACCCCGCAGGCAGAGCTGGTATGTCTCAGAGAGGATCAGACAGTGAAATGAGGAGCAGAAGAGAGAAGGAGAAGTGAATTAGGATAGGAGAGAAGGTTTATAGGGAGGAGAAAAAGAAGAGGGCAAAGGTGGAAAAGCGTTGGGGTAAATTGCAAAGAGATAGAAATGTTTTTTGTTGCTGTTATCACAGGTCACAACTCCACCATCCTGTGATAGTCAGTTTGATAATTTTCTCAACATTATCAATTCTTGCAGTATATGGAGTAAAGAATGATAAATAAATGCATGAAGTGCATGTACCTCACATTTTTCTTTTTTGTCTAGATGGTTGGATTCTGTGTCGTGTGGCCAGTGACACACTAGTAATGATTGAACCTATGTGGCGTTTGATGCGTCCTGCCAGCAGTTTCAAGGATATGTCCTTAATGGCGACCCGTAGGGGAAAAACAGAAAAGCTGATTCTGCCATACTGTGTCCGGCTCTCTTTAGCATATATCCAGCACAATGTTAAAAGCCTAAAACACCTATATATCACTAAAGCTCAAATCCAGACATATTTAGGCACCTTCCTCTATAAATAATGGTTCCAAAAGGTTTAAAAAAAATGCAAGTTGATAATTTTGAGCTAAAGCTTCCAGTGTGGGTTTGAGTTTATAGGTTAATATTTTCAATATTTTGAAAGATTTAAGTTCTTATAACAGCTTCACGGTCAGCTGATCTTATGTTAATAATGGTATGTTTATGTTTTTATAACAAGCAAATTACCAGGGTTAGGTGAAGTAGGTAGTAGTGGGTCCAAAAATCAATTCACATTCATTTTATTCATTTTCTACCGCTTAGTCCCTGAACAGGGTCACGGGGGTGGGGCCGGAGCCAATCCTGGCCGGCAATCGGGCGAAGGCGGGGTACACCCTGGACAGGTCGCCAATCCATTGCAGGGCTAACACATAGACGAACAATCACACACACGCACTCCTATGGGCAATTTAGAGACACCAATCAACCTAAGCTGCATGTCTTTGGACTGTGGGAGGAAGCCGGAGTACCTGGAGAGAACCCACGCAAGCACGGGGAGAACATGCAAACTCCACACAGAAGGGTCCCGGATGGGGCCCGAACCCAGAACCTTCTCGCTGTGAGGCGACAGTGCTGCCCCTATCAATCCACATAAGAATCCTAATTTATATCTTCTGTGATTCTGTATCAGTTCACAAATGCCAGAAATCTATTTTTGTGATAATGATTTGAATTAGGGAATGATTCTGGATTGAGTTATGACACAAAGAATCCAAATAAATCTAGATTTTGCCAAAGATTTTGTCCAAAATAAATAACTCTTTATGCCCCACGATGACACACAAAGTGCTGTTTGTTGTGTTGTGACTTTAATATGATGAACATCTGTAAAGACGTTGCCACTGATAACGGTGCTCCCAGTGTGTGGATGTCCACTACCTTACCTTACCTGATCCTGTTTGTCTCTTTCTTTTTCAAGGATAATGGTAGCAGTGTTACCAGTGGGATGGTTCAGAATGCAGTAGTCTTGCTATGTAACATTAGTGGAGACGCAGCCTTGGACCTGGAGCCACTACACCAACAAGGTACAGTGTGTCAGCATACAGTCTGTATGTGTTCTCAGGAAAAAAATCCTTCCATTATTCTTTACTTTTCTTGTTTTGTGCTCCCTCTTACACTACTGCTATTATAAGTGAGTCCTAGAGGCCTGTCTGTCATTGACCCTACTGCACTACTGCACAGAGTAGCCATATCATGTATCTGCTCTGCTAGCACAAGTTGTTGTCATGTTACTTCTTGACATCTTGTGTTAACCAACCTACTGTCCTGCTGCAGTATAATGCTTATTCAGGTCAACAGCCTTGGCTGTGTGTCTGTGCGCGCACATATTTTTTGTCCTTCAGCTATGGTGAAACTCAATAATATTACAATTTCCTTTGAAATGCAAGTGAGTCCAACAGATCCAGAGGAGGGTGTCCATGTGTCCCCTTGGAGTGAGGACATTTTTCACAAGTCAGGTCATTTTAGGTTAAATTTAGCATGCAAGAGATAGTTTGGGATTAGGACTTTAATTAGAAAGAAAGAAACAGAGGTATATAGGACTGCATCTTAAATCTACCAAAAGAGAACAAATGCAATAAACAAAAATACAAACACAGCTGCCTGTGTGTGTGTGTGTGTGTGTGTGTGTGTGTGTGTGTGTGTGTGTGTGTGTGTGTGTGTGTGTGCGTGTGTGTGTGAGAGAAAGAGAGACAGTTTAACATTGTAATTGCAACTATCGGCGGCAACGAAGATTCAACACCACACTTGCTTTCTCACAGTTCTCTTTAGGACTGTGCTCATGTCTCTCTTTTTCTCTCTGCCTCTCACTCAGGTTTTTGAGTCTCATTCTGTCCATCTTTTCCACTTCATCCCCATCACCCAAAACTACCACCACTATCAACCACTCCTCTCTCTCTATTTTCATTGGGTCAGCAGTTCAGTAGTAATCATTATCGTCCAGTCAGCTCTACGCTCAACAAGAAACTGTCAACCCAGCAATAATACTGGCTGGGCAATTAACGCTCCTCTCCTCTTCTCTTCTCTTCTCTTCTCTTCTCTTCTCTTCTCTTCTCTTCTCTTCTCTCTTCTCCTCTCTTCTACTCGCCTGCTGTTCATATTTTTGCCCTCTCTGCTATGCTCTGTTTTGGGCTCCTCTTCTGTTTCCTCCTCTTTTCTTTCTCCCTTCTTCTCATTGTGGTTCACCCCAGATCTGTGTGGTGATAGCAAGAAAGAATGGAGAAGGAGAAGAGAAGAGGAGAGGGGAAGAAGTGTGTATAATTGGCTTTTTAAGGTGTGACAGAGAGAGGAGGGGAAGAGTGGTGTGTGAGAGCATGCATATGTGTGTGTGTGTGTGTGTGTGTGTGTGTTGGATGCAAAGAAATAGACAGTGAAGAAGAGCAAAATAGGAAGGTGTTTTTGTGCTTGTGTGAATGTATTTGTGCCTATGCTCCTGTGTATGCGTGCGACAGAGAGATGTCTGTGTGTGTATGTGGTGAGTGGTAGATGCAGGAGCGCCCAGTATGTGTGTGTATGTGACTGTGTGAGAGAGAGAGAGGAGATGAGGTTTATAATTGGGCAGATTTGCCTCTGACTGAGATAATACCCCCTAGGGAATGAAGACAGAGGGAGCTAAGAGAGAGAGACAGAGATAGGGAAGAAGAACAAAATAACAGAAAGAAAAAGATTGCAAAAAAAAGAGAAAGGAAAAAGATGATAGAGCCAGGAAAGCAAAATGGGAGGTAAAAAGGGTTGCACAGAGGTGAGCAAGAGGAAGAATGGGATACACAGAGAGTGTTGTGAATTTGGACATGGAAACAGGGAGGGAGGATGAGAGAAAATTGAAGTTTGAAGTGAGTGACAGTTTCATAGAGGGAGAGAAAGACAGGCTGGGGGAAAGAATAAGTTTTTGAGGCAGCAAGAGACAAATTGGGACTTGAAACATGTGTATGCCACTTCCCACACAAAAGTCAGGATTTATAAAAACATACTTGGTGTGACAATGCGCCCTCCTCTAACTAAAGTCTCACCTGTACATATGCAGATTTTAGATATGAGCCAAACTGGCAACACAGATGGTGAAGCAGTTTATATTGTGTTTGTGCTTGCAGGACACTAAAAGATACAGGGCAATCAACATCTTAGCCATTTACATCTGAGATTCATTATTAAGTTGTCATAAATTAATTGAGTGTCTGGCACTTGTTCAGCTCTTGTTCATCACCACATTCCCAAACCATCAGAGCTCAGAGGGGACGGTCAGGCTGTGTGTTGCTCACACTTAATAGCCTACTGGACAGTTTTGAGCGATCGCGCATCAGTGCAGTAAAATGCCATGATGTGGTGCTGCCAGACACTCTCTGCCTTCTCCTGTCACCTCACATACACACCTACCTGCACTCATCAGCTGTGAAGATGATAAAAAATATTTAGATTTTGGAGTTAAATACTCTTTGATGTTGTTTTTTTAGATATTGACAGTGTGATTAGCTGTGCTCTTCTTTGTTTAATTTGGGTATTGTCATGTTTGTTGTCAAACTCTGTTTGTAGCTTTGCCTCCATTCTCCACAGAAACCATGTATGTCTCCACCATGTATTTCACTATTCATGGGCATTTTGCATTGTCCATATATGGTTAATCATGGGAGTGTTCTGGGAAGAACATGCAGCTCACTAAGGTGCACACATTCTCACATTGATTGTGGTTTATAAAGGGAAATTGCTTAGAAGCGTGCATGGTTTTATAAATGGGATTATCTTTTGCTGCACCCCATTTCTGTGTTTTGCGCGCATGTAAACGTTTAGTACAGATTCTAAGCACAGTTTTATAAATTAGGCTCCTGAAGCCTAGAGACCTAGAGACCCATTTGGACAGGATTAATGTTACTGGAGAAGGTGAAAGGAAAAATACTCCTTGTGGTCCCTGGTAATTTAGTTCTGGATGGGATTTTAAACTCAGTGAAATTACAGGATGTAATAGATGTGGGCACTGAGCAGAAGAAGTCTAAAAGACAAGGCCAAAAGCTTCATGGGGAGACATGGGAGAGTGGAAGGGGAGGCAGAAATTTTACCTGAAGTGAAGCTGAGTCAAAAACTGTACTCCTTGTCAGAGTCAAAACACAGTGACATCTGAACACACAGACATGAAGCTCATACGTATGATTCAGTGTGACCCACACTTCCTGAGGAACTTGTTTGAGAATCATCACATTTTTAAGGTTTCTTCAGTGTGAGAGTAATCCAGTGATAGGTGCTTATGCGTACATGGGTACATTGCAAACAAGAACTGCTAATAGCTAATTTGAAATAGCTTTAATGTAGCCAGTTTTCCAAATTGTAAACAGATGAGATAAAAACAGGGCTCAAACAAGAATACCTGTAGCTGATACTTGATGAGTTTGAGTTTTAATCTCTTGATGGCTTTGATTTCTCTTTGTCTTATGTTTTCCCACGTAGAACTGTGTGTTGGTGTTAGTATGTGTTCATCCATCAGATTACCAAAAATATTTTTCAAACAAAAAGTCACATTTTGCACAGATTGTAAACAGCTAATGTTAAAATCACTCTGCCTCCCCTAGAGAAATACTGTATATCCCATCTGATAGAGGTGAGCCTGAATCTCATTTTGTAGGCACATTGACAAGCAGACTGCATGATGTAATAAGGAAATGGAGCAGCAAAAATTCACCCCAGCAGTTCAAAAGTGTTGGTATCGCAGTTGTCCTTAAATGTTTTCGGAGTACCATGAGTTTGGTTTTAGGCTGAAGTGCTGACAAGGTGTCATTTAATTAAAGCATGGTTGTCCTTTAGTTAATTAGAGAAGCCCTCAGGGTCCCTGTGTGTCTTCAGGATCCTTGAACATCGTTCAGGTTCCTCTCTGCATTTGATCCATCACCAGTCCTTGTTATTTCTCTTGACCTTCTGTGAGAAGCTCAGAGGAATTTTCTGGTAATTGCTTTAGTGTCAGTGTTACTTTGTTTCTGTGGAACTTGGCATCTATAAATTGCCAATTGGTTGAGATTATATTCCCCAAATGGTGTCAGAAATTCTATATTAGCTCTTCCACGCCATGTCCATATGTGCCTAATCAATAAGAATGCCCCCGGCAATTTATACCACATAGATCTGTCTTCCATATTAATGCTTTCATATTAGCGAGCACCCAAGAGGTCACTGGATTGACAGTTTTACATGATGGCAATCAATAAGACAGTTTTGACAGTAAATGTGTGATGTTTTGCAGTGTGTTTCCAGTTTATGCTGTTCATACTGTAGATCCATTGGTACCTGTTCAGAGTGCATTGCTCCTGGACACAAATGAGTGTTGGTGAATGAGTTGCATTTTTAGGTATTTTGTTTTACAAAGAACAACATCCCTGTGTATATATAAGCAGCTGTAACTTATCTGATATTTAAATTCATCAGATAAGGCTCACGAGTTACTGGATCTTTGGAATAGTGATTTGTTACACATTGGAAGGTGCTGACAAGCAACCACTTTTGTCTGCTTTGGTGTATGCAGACATACAGTACATATATTATGAATGTACATACATACATACATACATTGTATGTATATATAAAAAATAATAATTCCCCACTCGCCCCAATCTGGGGCATTTCTATTCCTTCCTTCTAGCTCAGGTCCTCTACCAGAGCCCTGGGAGCTTAAGGGTCCTGCACAGTATCTTGTGTTCCTTCTTCCTGATGTTGCTATTGCTTGGGATTGCTACATCTATTGCTACGGCCTTCTTCTTCTGTTTGTCCACCACTACTATGTCCGGTTGGTTGGCCATTACCAGTTTGTCAGTTTGTATCTTGAAGTCCCTCAGGATCTTAGCTTGGTCATTCTCAACCACCTTTGGAGGTGTATTCCATGTTGACTTTGGGACTTCCAGCCTGTTCCATAGTCA